CCACCGTGCCATCTGCCGTTGCCGGCTGAAACTCTACAGTGCAAAGAGGAAGCCATTTATATATATATATATATATATATACAGGTCCTTCTCAAAGAATTAGCATATTGTGATAAAGGTCATTATTTTCCATAATGTAATGATAAAAATGAAACTTTCATATATTTCAGATTCATTGCACACCAACTGAAATATTTCATGTCTTTAATTGTTTTAATACTGATGATTATGGCATACAGCTCATGAAAAGCCAAAATGCCTGTCCCAAAAAATTAGCATATCATGAGAAGGTTCTCTAAACAAGCTATTAACCTAACCATCTGAATCAACGACGTAACTCTAAACACCTGCAAAAGATTCCTGAGGCTTTTAAAAACTCCCAGCCTTGTTCATTACTCAAAACCACAATCATGGGTAAGACTGCCGACCTGACTGCTGTCCAGAAGGCCATCATTGACACCCTGAAGCAAGAGGGTAAGACACAGAAAGAAATTGCTGAACGAATAGGCTGTTCCCAGAGTGCTGTATCAAGGCACCTCAGTGGGAAGTCTGTGGGAAAAGTGTGGCAGAAAACGCTGCACAACGAGAAGAGGTGACCGGACCCTGAGGAGGATTGTGGAGAAGGGCCGATTCCAGACCTTGGTGGACCTGCGGAAGCAGTGGACTGAGTCTGGAGTAGAAACATCCAGAGCCACCGTGCAGAGGCGTGTGCAGGAAATGGGCTACAGGTGCCGCATTCCCCAGGTCAAGCCACTTTTGAACCAGAAACAGCGGCAGAAGCACCTGACCTGGGCTCCAGAGAAGCAGCACTGGACTGTTGCTCAGTGGTCCAAAGTACTTTTTTCGGATGAAAGCAAATTTTGCATGTCATTCGGAAATCAAGGTGCCAGAGTCTGGAGGAAGACTGGGGAGAAGGAAATGCCAAAATGCCAGAAGTCCAGTGTGAAGCACCCACAGTCAGTGATGGTCTGGGGTGCCATGTCAGCTGCTGGTGTCGGTCCACTGTGTTTTATCAAGGGCGGGGTCAATGCAGCTAGCTATCAGGAGATTTTGGAGCACTTCATGCTTCCATCTGCTGAAAAGCTTTATGGAGATGAAGATTTCATTTTTCAGCACGACCTGGCACCTGCTCACAGTGCCAAAACCACTGGTAAATGGTTTACTGACCATGGTATTACTGTGCTCAATTGGCCTGCCAACTCTCCTGACCTGAACCCCATAGAGAACCTGTGGGATATTGTGAAGAGAAAGTTGAGAGACACAACACCCAACACTCTGGATGAGCTTAAGGGCGCTATCGAAGCATCCTGGGCCTCCATAACACCTCAGCAGTGCCACAGGCTGATTGTCTCCATGCCACGCCGCACTGAAGCAGACATTCATGCAAAAGGATTCCCGACCAAGTATTGAGTGCATAACTGAACATGATTATTTGAAGGTTGGTGTTTTTTGTATTAAAAATACTTGTCTTTCATTGGTGGGATGAAATATGCTAATTTTTTGGGACAGGCATTTTGGGTTTTCATGAGCTGTATGCCATAATCATCAGTATTAAAACAATTAAAGACCTGAAATATTTCAGTTGGTGTGCAATGAATCTAAAATATATGAAAGTTTCATTTTTACCATTACATTATGGAAAATAATGACCTTCATCATAATATGCTAACTTTTTTAGAAGGACCTGTATATATATATATATATATATATTTGCCAACATTAAATTCTGCATTTCTGACATATTTTGTTTGCTTGTTTTTCTCCAAAATGCAATGAAACATTTGAATGATTACTAATATGAAACATCCAAGCATTATTCTTTTTTTTTTTTTTTTTGTGGGGGGGGGGGTGAAAATAGATTTTAGATGGGTTGTGGATAGTAGTGTTAGTATTGTGGACACTAATTAAGTATTAATGTTGCATACTATGCTCACAATACATGAAATGGAAATAGTAGATTGGTAATATGAAATGGTAGACTTATAAAATTGTATAATTTCTATGACTCAAAACTAAGCTGCAGAAGTTCATTTTGTAAACCACAGACATCACGTCCTCCATACTAAAGAGGAATCCAGCCTCTTGTCAGCCCACACAGTTCAAAAACTTGCCTCGCTAATGGTATATGGGTGCATTAGTGCGCCATCAATGCAGAAAAGTATTTGCAACATATGCAAACATCTGTTGTAGTGAGCATTACAGCAGGGCGGTGCTATGTCCCTTTAACCAGAGGGGCGGAGCTTAGGGGGAGGGAGGTGTCCGTAGTGAACGTGCAGCTGCTGGGCTGTCACCTCATTCACCTCCCTCTCGGACCGCACAAGGGTCGACCACCGAAGGTGCTCTCTTTCTCTCCGAGGGGTCAAAATGGTGAAAATTAGCACGGTTAAGACCACGCCGTACACGGACCAGAAGCCCGGCACGAGCGGTCTGAGGAAGCGCGTGACGGTGTTCCAGCAGAACCAGCACTATGCGGAGAACTTCATCCAGAGCATTATCTCCGTCGTGGAGCCCGCAGAGCGCCAGACGGCCACTCTGGTGGTGGGGGGAGACGGGAGGTTTTTCATGAAGGACGCCATTCAGCTGATCGTTCAGATCGCAGCAGCCAACGGGGTGAGTCTGTGCAAACACGTCGGGGCTAGCATGCATGCTAGCAGGTTGAAACCGAGCTGTCAAGGTTGTTTGTGTTTGAGATAATTGTCTACACAACCTCATGCAGGGAGCTTGAGTCGCTTGTTTAGCTTAATGCTAACAACAAGAACTAAAGTAAACAGTGATGGGGTTCATTAATGCTACATGTAGTGTAGCTAATTGTTAGCTTTCGCTTCTTCCCTCGTTCCCAGGTGGGAGACCCTTTGGTCAAAGACATCCCTGCTCTTACTTGTTAGGTTGTAATGTTTCGTTTAGCCTTCAGTGATATTAACTCCACTGTTCTTGCCAGGTCTGCGTGGCTAAATAACTCGTCTGTTTTCCGTGCAGTTTGACGCTTGACCGCTGGGACATGTTGCTCCTTCATGATTTACCTTTGACATTTACACGATGACACGGCAGCATAATGCACCAAAGAAGCCCGAAACATTTTTCAGTTAAAAAAAAAAAAATCCCACACTTGTGTCCTTAGCAGTTGTACAAAATAAGCAAAACTGTTTTTTAGTGTCAACGGATAGCTTTACGATAAGTCTCTTCATGTGAGCAGGGGGGCGTGACGTGCAGCCTGCATCAGTATGTACAATGTGTGTATGGCAGACCGTTGTAACATATAATCAAACCACAGTCTGTTAATTTTTTGTCTTAAATCAATTATTTATAGTATTCCTCCAAGTCGAAATAACATTTAATAAAGATTTGAATCGAAATTAAATATGTTTACTTCTAAAGTAGCATTTCTAATTGTAAAAATCATAATTCACAACTAACATGAGAAATGTTATGAAATGTTCTGTGCTGGGGAAAAAATAAATAAATAAAAACTTTTTGGCAAAAAGAGCCCATTTTTCTGCTGTGAAAAAATGTGAAAATATCCATTTATGCTATAATTGAGATTTGCATAAAAATGACTCCATAAAGACACCATCTGGTGAACCCACTAAATTAGCATATAATCTTCCTAATCCACATTTGAACTAATGTTTTTCACTGGTACGTGTAATTTATAAAAATGTCTTAACCCTTATTTTCTGATTAAAAATTACTTTTTCTCTGCCTACTGCTTTAGCACTGCACAATCGCTTCAGATAATTGTCATCATTGTGAAGTGTAGATATATATTTTTTATTATTGCTAAAATTCTCATTTGGCATCACTCCAAACCAATAAAAAAAATTTCAAACCAACACTCTTGTAAACAAAGCTTGCTTGTTGCTACCCTGGTGATAAATCTTATTTTAAATCAAGTGTTCTCTTTCTATCCACAATCAACATGTCAAAAATCCCAAACTTTATTCTTAATAAGCTGCATGGTGTCACTTTTCACTGTTTATGTGACATCAACTGAAAAATTTTAGCGAAATCTGAAATATTAATAGTAAGAATATTGGATTAAGAAAGGGGGTTGCTTGCTGAAATGTCCATTTGAATCAGAAAAAAGATGTGAATGTTTGCGTTAAAGATGTTTATTATATGATCATTTTGGTTGTCATACAGACACCAGCTGTCATTTGCAAATCTGCATTGCTATATCTTCTTTAATTTTGGATTTCAGGTCATTTAAACATCTAATACTTTTGTTTTCATCAGTGCTGGCAATGAAGAGACTTGCAAATTATCAGACAGGGCTCAACAAGGCCTGCGCTGACTCTATCAGACCTACTGGGAAGAAAGTTCCCTCATTTAGCACTGTATTTCTCAATTATTGTCATTTTTAGTCCATGTTAAGAAATGACGTAAATTGAGTAATGGTGTTATTGACTAAATTGCAGAACCTTGCTGCTTGCACGCTTACTCAAAACAAATCCAGATGGAGATACTGCTTGATTTCAAAATCTGAAAGGTTAAAGGTGCACATGCATAGTTAGTATAACCTCCTCTGCAGGATAGTAGTTCAGTAAGCAGAATGTGGTAAAGATGGAATAAACTCTGTTTTTGTTCTGCATGGTGATAATGAGACACTGTACTTGTTTTTACTTGTCTCTGGTGAGAAGCAGATCATTGTCCAACTATCATTTAGTCTTTTCAAGGTTTCACCTACTTATTTTTCTTAGGTGTGAATTAATCTGTGGCTCTCCTCTTCTTTTTTCAGATTAATCATCTTGTTATTGGTCAGAATGGCATTATGTCCACCCCAGCAGTTTCCTGTGTGATCCGCAAGTTAAAGGCAGTGGGTGGGATCATCCTCACAGCCAGCCACAACCCCGGGGGTCCCAATGGGGACTTTGGCATTAAGTACAATATTTCCAGTGGAGGTGAGATGAGTTTAGACTTTAAGTTCCAGTCGCTCGCACAGAAATGTTCATAATGCAAAACTTTAAAAATAGAAAAACTGTTATGGATTTAGTTTATTCATCTGTGTTTCATTCGGTGTTTGAAGTTTCTCCTCACTTTTTTGTCCTGTTCCCAGGTCCTGCTCCTGAAGGCATCACTAATAAAATATTTGAAATCAGCAAAAGCCTGCAGGAGTATCACATCTGTCCGGAGCTCAAAGTGGATCTGTCGAAGATCAGCAAGCAGACTTTTGAAGTGGACACATTCAAGCCTTTTATTGGTAAATACAAAACTTGTCTTCACCAGGAAAAAAAACAAACAAACAGCAATTTCTATTTTAAATTTATGCTGGTGAAGCTTCTCAGTCATCCAGGACACGATGCATTCAAAAAGCGCTCAATACAAAAACAACTGGACTTTATTTGTAACAGATTTTTTTAATATATTGATATTGATATTGACTAGATATTTTAAATTTAGTTTTGTCCTCTTTATTTGTGCTGTTTTGAAACATACAGACTGTGAAATTAGATACAGTTTATAAATCAATAATGTGACTTGAGGGGATTTTTGTTTATGTTGTGCGAGCGTAAAATTAAATCTTCATCTTGACATTTACATTCATCTAAAATGTTCACGCTTTCTCTGGATTTCTTAGTGGAGATCGTCGACTCAGTTGAAGCCTATGCTGAGATGCTGAGGGACATTTTTGACTTTGCTGCACTGAAGGACCTTCTCTCTGGAGCCAGTCATATTAAAGTTCGACTGGATGCAATGCATGGAGGTATGGAAGGGCACATAGAATCATCTTTGTTTTAGAGTACTGGTGCTATATAGTTTTTTTTTTTTTTTTGGCATAATAATAATAATGACACTGTTTCTCCCTCCAGTGGTCGGACCTTATATCAAGAAGATAGTGTGTGAAGAGCTGGGTTCTCCTGCCAACTCGGCTGTCAACTGTGTCCCTCAGGAGGACTTTGGTGGTCATCACCCTGACCCTAACTTGACTTACGCTGCTGATCTGGTCAACACCATGAAAAGTGGAGAGTATGACTTTGGAGCTGCCTTTGATGGTGACGGTGTAAGTTTTATAACCTTTCCTACCAAGAAACAGCTAGATTGTTGACAAGGGGTGGCAGCTAAAATGACATCAGCTTTCATTAAATGAAAGTCAGTTTTTTTTTTTATAAATGTGCAGCACTGAAAAGTTTTGCTGTCATTTGCTACAAAATAAAATGCTCCCACGACCCAGGAATCTGATCGTAGTGCATCCTGTTTGTGATTAACACAAAACCCTCTGTGCCACTTGTTTTGCACCCTCCTCAGGACCGTAACATGATACTTGGCAAACATGGCTTCTTTGTGAACCCCTCCGATTCTGTGGCGGTCATCGGCGCCAACATTACTTCCATCCCATACTTCAAAAAGACCGGTGTGAAAGGCCTGGCTCGCAGCATGCCCACCAGTGGAGCTCTTGACAAGTAGAAACCATTTTACATACGTGTTTAAAACGTTTTCTTTAGTAAGCCACCAGTCATAGATTCGTTTTTCTACTAAGGTTCATAACGCGTTTAAATTTGTTCTAGTGTGGCCAAAGCTCTGCAGATGCAGCTGTACGAGACTCCAACCGGCTGGAAGTTTTTTGGAAATTTGATGGACGCTGGGAAGCTCTCGCTGTGTGGAGAGGAGAGCTTTGGAACTGGTGAGGGCAAATCTTCAACTTTGATTACACCAAAAAATGTGACCTCTCTTACATTAACTCCCTGCACTCACTGCCCACTTTGTTAATCAACCAGGCTCCGATCACATCCGTGAGAAGGATGGACTGTGGGCCGTGCTTGCGTGGTTATCAATCTTGGCCACCAGGAAGCAAAGCGTGGAGGAGATCATGAAGGATCACTGGCAGAAATTCGGCAGGAACTTTTTCACCAGGTCAGAAGTCATGCCTGTAGAGACTTCTGTAAAATAAAAGTTCAAGTCTCAGATCTCCATGTTGCTAGTGGCATGAATTTGTTAATTGCTGGGATGTTTAGAATATTAGAGATGTAAAAACGTTTGATTCTAAAATGTTATTTTGGCGCCATCTAGTGGCCACAATGATAACTGCAGCACTTTGAGAGATCTTGCGTGTTTTACTTGTTTCCCTGCACCAAAACACCTGATTCAAAGGTTGAATTACCTCTTCATGTACTGCAGAAGCCTGTTAATCACCCATTGATTCAAATCAGGTATGCTAGTCCAGGGAAGCAAGAAAAACATGCAGAATAGTGGCCCCCGAGGACCAGGATTGGACACTCATTCCAGACTGTTTTTGACTCTTAAGTCATCCATAAACCAGAAGTAGTAGTTCCAGGTTCGATCTTTGTATCAACAAAGTCTAATTTTTTTTTCTAGGTACGACTATGAGGAGGTTGACTCAGATCCTGCTAACAAGATGATGAAGGATCTAGAGGCACAAATGTCTGACCCAGCGTTTGTTGGAAAGCAGTTCTCATCAGGTGATAAGACTTATGTGGTGGCTGTTGCGGACAACTTTGCCTATACAGACCCGGTGGATGGCAGTGTGTCTAAGAACCAGGTAAGAAGTGTTGTTCATTACTTGTACAATATCTGGTGAAAGATTTATGCTCGCACTCAGATTTGAGGGATGGTTTATTATTTTAGGCTGATCCCACATTATTGTGTCAATGCTATTTCAGGATTCACACAATAATGATCCTGTTTCACTTTTTTCTTTTCTTCTATTTTTTATTTATTTATTTATTGTGAAAAAATCTTTTTTGAACCATTTGCATGTCAAAATGTTACTCATTTAAAACATAATTTTGTTAATTTTAGCTTGTGTTTTGCTACTCTTAGCTAGGATTTTGCTACTTTTAGCTTTTAAATCATTTTTTGTATTTTAATACCATTTTGCTCTACTTTTTACTTTTAGCTAGCATTTTGATACATTTAGTTTTGACCCTACATTTAGCTATTTTTAGTTTTTAGCTATTTTAGTCTTACCTTTCACTTGTTTTAACCATTTGGTTAGTTTTTGCCACTTTTAGCTTTAAGTTAGTATTTTATTACTTGGCTGTTAGGTAGTGATTAGATGGATTTGCCTAACAATCTTGCACTTTGTTCTTTTCAGTTGTTAGTACTATATTTTTTAATTTTTAGCTTTTAGCTAGTCTGATTCTTTTGGCTTTAACAACTCATTGGCAGCTTCAGCAAATTTATTTTAAGTAATTCACCGTGCAACATTAACACCACATTGTTACAGAAAATACTATTTCTCTTGTTTGACATAAAATTATTGGAACTGGAAGTTGTCTAAATACCTTATTAAGTCATTGCTAAGTGTACGGCTGTGTGAGTCATGGCTCCTCGTTTCGTACACCTCCACATGGTTTTTATTTCGCTGTGTCTGTCTTGCGCTCTCTCAGGGCCTCCGGATCATCTTCTCCGATGGGTCCAGGATAATTTTCCGTCTCAGCGGTACAGGCAGCGCAGGAGCAACCATCAGGCTCTACATAGACAGCTACGAGAACGACGCCCAGAAAATTTACCAGGATCCGCAGGTCAGAGCTATAAGGAGTGACTCCAGCTGTTTCAGTTCAGTGAGGAACAAAGACAAGACGATCAAGTCAGGAAATTAATATGAATGGGACTCGGACCAATAGAAACTTTTTTTTTACTTTTCTATATCATCATTTAGAAATGGAAGTAAAAAGACAATATACTGTGTCATCTGCCCAGATTACAGCAGAGGGAGGTTTACTCATGAGTCCCAAATCTGAACTCATTTGTGGTCTGCAGGATTGCCAGCTCTCACTGGGTGGGGGTTCTCTTTAAAATCTGTTCCTTTCAAGTTTTATTCAACATCAGATGATGATGCAGACATTTGGCCAAAACGTGAGTTCTGACAGCTTATCAGGGCATGTATGAAGAGAAACAGCACAGGGGGGTGCGTGGAGAGCACATATTCCAGCTCAACACTTTATAAAGTGGTTTTGACTGGTGTGGACAGGGAGGTGATTCAGAACGTGAAACAGAGAAAAAATGGTGGGGGAGAGTAAAAGTAAAAGTTCTACTCCAATACTTTATCCTCCTTCTAGCTCCAGCACCGTGAATAAAGTGATAAGCAGAAACAGATTGCTTCAGATTCTTGACAGAAAACAATCCTGCAGGGAAGGATTTTCAGCTGATTTGATTTAAGCTAACCCTGCTTAGCTGGTAGATAATGACAAACAAGAGTACATTTATCCAGAAATTAAATAAAATTTTAAAAAGTCATCATATTTATAACATCAAGTCAGCTGACTCTTAAAAACTAGTCCTGCTGTGTACAATCCAAACAAAAATCCTGATTGTTTTTTGTGTTATTTCTGTGTCCAGGTGATGCTGGCTCCTCTGGTAGACATCGCCCTTAAAGTCTCTCAGCTCCATGAAAGAACTGGACGCACCGGTCCCACTGTCATCACATGATTCAGCAACAAGATGCCTCCGCTCACTTGAGTGGAGGTGAAGCTGCCCCTGAACGCTGTCATAGCTAGATTTAAGTTAAGGGAAGCTCAACGTGCAGAATAAATACAAGAAAATACACGAGCAGAGTTGTTCACTGCCTTCATTTTGTGCTAAACCACAGTTTAATATGTCTGAGGGGTGCAATAAACTATCTTCACCTTTTACTAACCTGCCTGGTTCAAAAGACACCTTCCTGTGTTGAAATGTGCAGAACGGTTGCAAATGTCCATTTGAACCTTTTAGTTGTGCAATATTGTCACTTGCGATGTAAGAAGAACAAAAGTGCACTCGAGTGTGCTTCGTGTAGTTCGCTGGAAATGTTTAAGTCCAACTCTGGTGTAAATTTGATCTGTGCAATTCAAGACCCGTTAAACTGAGCAGAAATCAGCAGTTTGGGGCAGCCTGAACGCTTTCCCTTCACTTCTCCTTGTGATGTTGTTCGACTTTTCCCCATTTCTGTGTTCATCCAACCAACAAAGCCTCAACCTGAGCCGCAGCTGTAGTTATTGAGAATTTAATAAAGCAACGATGAATAAAAGAGCCTTATGTAAAAGAGCAGTGGTCAAGCTCTTGTTTTTTTCATTTTATTATTAAGCTCATGTCTGCCTCACATGTATTTATGAACATTTTCTTTCCTGCTTTAGTCAAACCAGCAGTAATTGGACAAAGAAACCAGGATTTTTTTTTTTAATTCACAAGAGAAACTGAAAATAAAGTTGTTGGGTTTGAAAATAAACACGGAGATCCTGCTGGACAACGATTGAGTCACATGCTTTAAAAAGTTGATTCTTTCCCAAAAACATTCTTTGCTCAAGCAGAAAAGTATAAACTGATGAATTGTTTTCTTCCTAAATCTCTTATGAGATCTGGGTGGTTTCTTTTGTTGGTGAGACGTTTCGACCTTCATCCGAAGGACTTCTTCAGTCCGAGGAGCCGCAAACAACCTGGAGTCCCACAAATACCACACTCCCATAGTGGAAAAAACAATTTTCTGATGATGGTTTCTGAGGCCCGCCCTCTCCCCCGCCAACTCTGAGATGGTCATGCCAAAATGGTTCGAAACACCAAAAGCTCAATAATCCAGGTACAAATCCAACAATGTTGGATGAGGGGAGAGGGTGGGCACCAGAAACCATCTTATCACCAGCGAACAGTTTTTTTTTTTTTTTCCAGTATGGGAATGTGGTACTCCAGGTTGTTTGTGGCTCCTCAGACTGAAGAAGTCCTTCGGATGAAGGACAAAATGTCTCAGCAAAAAAAGAAACCATCCAGATGACCTGACTGAACATTGTTGGATTTGTACCTGGATTACTGAACATGAACTTTTGGTCTTTTATGAGAGTTCATATATTGTTAGGAGTTAAAGACGAGTTCTATCTAAAACCAAATGAGCCAAAATCTTATTTATTTATTTATTTATTTTTTTTGTCTTCGTTTTCAAATGTGACTTAAAGACGCCTGAAGCAGCTTGGATCATTTTAGATTTCCGGTGCTGGCTTAGTGTCAGCATTTCTCCCACAAAGTTCTGCTGTTGAAGGTAAATTGGCCACAGTTTAGTTAAATTGAAGTTTGGGTGGAAAATCAGGTGCACCTAGGCAACTATAGGGGACGATTTTAAGGACAAAATGGAAAATTGGTCTCAATCACAGACGGCACATTATGTGCCCGTTTCTGACGTGTTCTAGTTTTGTTCGGGCTGCAACACGTGGAAAGCAGATTGGGTTTCTGAGCTGGAACCAATTGTGAAATCAAGTTGGATTTTCCTGCAGATTTCTAAAGAGTTGAATGTTTGATGACAGAGCGTTACGGCCAACTGTTAGAACAAATTTACATTTCCTGTGATTTTCTTTCCACAAGCTTTTAGGTACATATTTTACCTGGCACTGCTGGCTTGATATGGTTAAAAAAAAGTTCACTTTAAGATTGTGGACAAGGTTTGTATGGCCGACTGCCAGTCTTCAAAGTTAGCTCTGCAGCTGCACAATATTCCTCCATGCAGCCATTTTAAAACGTTTCTTCTAATCGCTCCTGGGCTGCATTTAGACGAGCTGTCAGCTCATCATGTCGTCACAGAGACTTTCATTAGATGTCCAAACATCTTCCGGAGCCGAGTGGATTTAGAATGGCCTCTGATGAACTCCTGCTAAGGACGACCACATTGCTCTCAAAGTAAAAAAAAAAAAAATCTATATTTTTTTGCATGTCAAGTTCTTTCACAATTGATTAAGTTTGATAGGGAGACCTTAACACAAATACTTTATCCTGGTCTGTTGGCAGAGGTACAAAGTGACCTGGAGCCATCTCTGTCACAACTAATGCATCAAGTTTGAGTTCACGCTGGAGCATTAATGAAAATATTTTCAGGTAATACTCAGATTTGTATCCTTTACATGCTGCGTATGAGTAATGTGCACAATTTCTTTCATCCATTCATTTTCTGTAGCATATCATTGGTCGGGTCGTGGAGGACACAGGTCCAGAAGGGAAAGCCGGACATCCTTCTCCTCAGCTGTCCTCCAGACCAGAAAAGGATGCATATATTCTGGGTTTTCTTAGGGGTCTCTGTCGAGCATTCCCTGAAAACCTACTGAGGAAGGAATTTTAATGAAATTCCCAAACCATTTCAGCTGGCTCCTTTCAATGTGGAAGAGCAGCGCTTCTACGACAAAGCTTAACTTCTCTTCCCAATGCAGAAAGCTCGTTTTATAACAATTAGGAACACCTTTGTTCAGTCTATGTTTCACTCCTGGACCTAACTTGGCAGCTGCACCTTAGATAAGTGGAAGACATGGTGGATACAGTGAACATTTATAGGGGGAAATGCTCAAAACATTAAATGTGTTTTAATTTCTATCGGTATATAAACTACAAGATCTTACTAAATTACAAACAAATCTATTTTTACATTAGATTCTTTTAAAGCATGGCATTAAAGTAATGGTTTTGAAAACAGTAATAGCATTTTAGAGGTATTAAGCATCAATAAAAAAGGCTTTAATTTGGTAAAATAAAGACTGAACACTATGCCCAAGACATAACCATGAGTACTGTGATGTGCTGGGACAAGACTCCTGAGAGGAGACAAAGAGACTAATCAGGGACGTCTGTGTTCAATCAGTAGAGGAGCAGCACACTGAATGAAGGTCTCAAACAAACTGGTGACAGCACCCTTTTGGAGAGTGGATGTCATCGGCAGTCATTTAGGGCTGCTGGCGACGAAGACAGTAAGACAGGTGGTTAGGCGTCCCTGTGTCAGGAGGGAGGCTGCGTGCCTCCTTTAGTCAGACAGGGCTTGCCTTTAGGTGCATTCACCACCTTGCTCTCCTGCTTCTGTTCCTGTGGACTGATGTTCCTGTTGGCTGCCCTGATCTGGTATTGGGCCAGTCGAGGAGGTCCGATTGTTGTCCAGCTAAGTCAGTCCCCGGGGTGTTGGATGACATCACAGCTTAGACCCTGGGGAGGGGTCTCACCGACTGGGTGAGCTAAGTGAACTCATTTCATCTATGTTGTAGGCCTCTATTCATTAACTTGGGGAGAAGATCAGGAAGGGTTAGTTTTATAGGGGTACTGTTGAGTGGTTCCCAACTCTGGTCCTTGATGAACACTATGCTGCATGTTTTAGTTGCTTCCCTGCTCCAACACACCTGGTTTGAGTGAATGGATGATTAACAGGTTTCTAAGTAATTAAATCACTGAGTCAGGTGTGTTAGAGCAGGGAAACTATTAAAACATGCAGGGTAGTGTTCCTCGAAGACCAGGCATGGAAACCAAGATGAATGAATAAAAAGCCTTTTTTTCCTTAACCTTCTGGTATGTGTGGTGATTATTTGATGGTTCTGACATTCTAGGCTAGAGCTGCCTGTGTGACCCATTACAGTACTCTTGGTTAGGGTCAAAATGGTGCAGAAACAGGGCAGCTGACTCGGAACCCAAAAGTCCCAGGTTCGATCCCCAGTCATTGCACATCTCGTGGTGTCTCTGAGCAGGACACCCTATCCCCATTTGCTCCCCGGGTGCTGACATAGCATCCCACTGCTCCACCTGAGTGTATCCCAGATGTGATGGGTTAAATGCAGAGAACCAATTTCGCCATTGTATGTGAACATAAAATGATGACGATACATTTTAATTTTATTTTATTTGGTTGATGTACTGTGGAAAACAAATGTCTGAATGTTTCTTGCAGCTAAACTGAAGCTTATTCCTAATTTACATCATAGTTTGTGCCTGTTTCTTATTTTTCATGTGTTTTAAGCTCTTATGATTCTGTTGGAACAAACAGAGGAAACTGGTGGTGTTTGGACAATAACAGAGTCAGAGTTTCTCTATTGTCGTTCGCTCGGAACAAAATTATGTACACGGGGTCCCAGTTACATCCAACAATAAAATGTAAAAGAAAAACATTAAGAAACACAACGCAGCGTATCAGCAAAAGCCCTCAAATCAAATGTCACATCACATAAATGGAATGGTAAAAAGACTGTACTTATGTAGCGCCTTTCTGTCTTTATCAAGACACTCAAAGTGCTTTACATTACAATCTGTGCCCTCATTTACCCATTCATACATCACTCTACTATTATCTCTACAAAGCTAATTGAACAAATCATTCTAAAGAGAATAATCAGAGCATAATCACATTCATACACCGATGGGACACACTGGAGGCAATGAGGGGTTCGGTGTCTTGCCCAGGGACACTTCGGCATGTGACTGCTGGTGCAGTCGAACCCCCAACTCTTGCATATTCATCACATGAACAACAGTTAGTGAGATGATCATAAACTGATAAAGTCAAACACATGATCATCACTTCAAGTAAAAGAAGCAGGGACTTTTAACTAGTCTGAATATTCAAACTAGACTTTATCTCCTGATTATGTACTAACGGTTAAAAAAAAAAAAAGATTTAACAGGGCATGTGAGGTTAGCCAAGTCTCAGACAAACCCCCAAAAATGGCCGATACCAGATGTATAGGAGCAGCGTATGAATCATTGGTTCTGCTGTCTCGGTTTTCTGGGTCCGGAGCCAAGTGTACAGAATGATGTGTGAGGCCATTAAAAACTGTAAGTAACAGCACAGGATGAGACGGAGTGTTTCTGACCACTCAGTGGAACCAGCAATTTTGCAACAGGGCTGGATTTTGTCCACTTTCTGGCAGTTTTCTCCTTCAGCCTCCAAGAAGAAAACAAATAATCCGAATGACACCACACTTATATGGTCCATTGTGCTGTGGAGTGCAGGTCTGACGGAGGAGCAAATTTAGGATGGAAGGAAAAGAGGACAGTGAGGCTTTACTCTGCACCACAGTTGTCTTTTTTTTTATTTTTTACTGACTGGTTTTCTTCTTTCTGCCTGAATTAAACCAAGCTCCGTTTATCCCTTCTCCATACGTGCTGCACAAGAAATATAAATATAGACTGACTAATGTAACGGCTGTTGTTAACTACTTGACAGAACATTGCTTTGAAAATGACCAGAATATCTCTTTAAAGGATGTCTAAATGGATTCAGAGACGGTGCTGAAATGTTTCCTGACTGAAGGACAGCAGAGTGCAAACATGCCCAAAGAAGGTGTGGATGGGGGGGGGGAAATAAAAAATACAAGGATTTAGCAAATATTTCAGAATGGTTTTCATCATTATCATCCTTTCATTTTCATTTACTGACTGAGCCATCATTGCCAACTTGGGAACAAAGAGCCCCCCTGTCCATGTGGTTCAGCCCCAGCTCTAAAGCCCCAGGGATCTGCTCTCCAAGGGGACCTTTTGAACCCTAATCCCCTCCAACATTAAAACTAGATGCCTTCTGCCATGGTTGCAATTTTAATAATCCCATCCTATTTTAGGCAGAATGAAGCTAATGCACATCACAGAAAATAATTAGGTTAGAAATAATTGCACAGCTTGATCGGCCCAAAGTTGAAGGTTTCCTCCTGTGGAGAAAAAACAAAAAACAGACAAAACAATGTTGGGTTGAATGAATCCGACTGCTAAAGATGCAAACAACGTTTGTGTGATGAATTCATCTTTTCTTTTGGTTGTAATCAGTTTAATTTGTTGAAATGTGTCCCAGTCATAGTATTACTAGAACACTAAAACCATTTGTTGAGTAAATTGAAATCTTGTGTGAAAATAATGGGAACATAAGCTGTGTCAATTGAACTCCTAGGCTTAATGAAGAGCAACATAACAGATGCAGAATCTTGTGAGCTGCCTGGTTCAGATTCTATTTGGTCTTCAGAAGAAAATAATCCAATCTCAGCCATTATTCCAGCTCTTATTCCGGTACAGCAGTTAAATCAAAACACACCTCTGAAAGAATGATGTTTCGCTCTAATGAGGGTCACAACATGAAGATACCAAATTGCTTCCATTCTTCTCCTGCCTCTAAAAAGGCCAGAACTCGTCTTTCAAAGTAGAGTTCAGAGAATTCATGTAAAACCTGAAGGGAGAAGAATAAACAGAAACAAGTTGCATTTCTTAACCAAGTGTGTCTGTTGCTGCTTAACGTATCTGCAGCCATTCATGTTCAAGGCACGAGAGACCTCGGCCCACTTCCTGTTTCCTTCAGTCATTTGTCTTTGTGTAAAAAATGCACGGCTGCAAAGTAAATAACTCCATGAGTTGAGCATTTGAATGTGGTTTTAATATGTTGGGTAATTTGTCTAGGTGATATGAAAGGGTACACTAAACGTTACCAGATGGATCATTATCAGATCATCTGCAGCGGTGAATCCAGCTCTGTGTACAGTTTAACCTTTATTAGTCCAGGTTGTATTTTTTATCAAATATTAACGTGTACAGCAGCAAACGCACACCTGGTTAAAAAGTATGAAGCACACAGCGTCCCTCCTTCCATTCACTTTGGTGTGGCAGAGCCAATCCCAGTTGTCATTGGGCCAATTGGCAGACAAACACAATTTTATGGTCAATTTAGATCACCAGTTAATGAAACATGCATGTTTTTGAATTGTGGGGGGAAGCAGCCATGCACCAACACCACACAAATGGGCCTGCAGACTCAAACTTGCTGTGAGGTGACATGTTAAACACTATGTTGTTGTTGTGTTTTTTATTTATTTATTTAAATTATGATTTATTAGAGTAATTAGCTCAGTGCTCCTCATCCTGCAGAGGAGTTAGAAGTTTTAACTTTGTTGTTTCATTTTGGTCATCAGTTGGCTAATATTGGGCAAAATAATCCCACAGATCATGTGAGAGCTCCATTATTTTACCACAAGGGGGAGATTTAAAAAAATAAAGTTTGGAAATGAATCTGGGTTCATGAACTCATAAAGTAATAATTTTGTGCACCATTTCTGCAGGGACTTGTTAGGGAGAGCACTGGTGTCCCAGAGAAAGACATGAGTAATCCCCCCCCCCCCCCACCACCACACTATCACTTTACAAAAAAAAAAAAAAAAAAAAAAAAAAAAAAAACAAAAAACAAAAGCCGAGTGCCGTCACGC